AGGTCAGGCTGACAGGCCTGTAGTTCCCAGTTCACACACTTCTTCTCATTAGCTTACTTTTCTCTCTTTCTTTTCTTTGTCTGCTTTTTTTTTTTTTTCCTAGCAATATATTTTGAACAGGAAACCTTTCTTCTTTCTCCCATTGGTTACCTTGTTGCTAGGTTCAAGAGAATATCTCCAGCATAAAAATTGAGAAAAATAGAAGGATAAGGTACTAACATTTCTCAGAGCCTTTTTTTTTTTCCCTTCAAGCTGTTTTTAGAATTGGGAAGATAGAAGAGGTTTACACTGGGATGGCTTGCAAACTGGACTTCCTGAGATTTTTAAACGGTGCTGCAGAGAAGACTTTAAAAACTGAAAAGGCCATATTTCCTGGAGCAGAGAAAAGTGGTTGGGAGTGGTTGTTCACTCTATCATCTAAAAAGAAAAGTATATACATAACACTACACCCGTGGGAAAAACAAAAAAAAAAAAAGCAAAACTATGAACAATATGGCAATGCACTGTGATAACAAAATTCTTCTTTAAAAATATATATAAGAAATAAACATACTGTCAACATGGCTATACATCACACACATTGCACCAGTCAAACGAAAATGGTCTAGTAACCATTCTTGGTATTCTCTAGTAATTCTCATTTTCTAGTAATCATTCTTAGTTTCAGCTTAAGGCAAACATGAAGTAAAATGCATGAAGCTAACACTACCAGCTCAGCTAATCCACAGTAATGTATTAAGTTGTTATACAGAATACATGTAGCTGTGTTAATTTTACAAGACAAACCTTCTTTCCATAAAATAGAAAAGATGTAATAGAATAGGTTAAATTTCACTTGTAGTATGTGGTCAAATACCAGTTTTGTGTATTCTCTTTGTAGTTAATTGAACTTGGATGAACTTGAAGTTGCTTGAACTAGCTTCTCTCTTTGAACTAGCTTGCTTGAACTGCTTTCTGTTTTCAGAAAAGTGGCTTCATAATAATGAAAAATACTCACGGTAAAGGCAAAATGTTTACTTTCAGGAACAACCCCTTTTATTTTAATATTTTGAGTTTTATAGATCACATTAAGATATCCTACTATTGTGTGATACCAAACAAAAGTTATCTTTACTGTTTGCAGTAGAGTGGACTAGGCTATTATTTACACTGACTACATACAGAAAATAATTACTTAAAATTAAATATTTTAATTACAACATTTAAACTGGGTTTTAATTTATTGTTGTTTATTTTTAATAGATAATTTTGTAATTTGACCCTGTTCCCCCAGTATACACCTGTTTTGTGTCTTACAATGGTGTTTTTGTTTAAGAGTATACCTAGCTATTAGACAATATGTTTCTAAGGGAGTTTCCAAGATCAAGTAAGCACTACCATTCTCACTTTGTCTGACCTGCTCTATTTACACAGGTTTTTATGTTTCTCACTCATTTTCCCTGACAAAATTATGTGTTTTTTAAGAAAGCAAGGCTGTGCATGAAACGTAATTATTAGTACCCATGTCTTCTCCAGTTAAGTTCTCTCAGTCAACTCTTCACTGGGAAAACCAAAAAATGGTTTTCACTGTGTGCTTGTCTAGGAGGGACTACACCACTTCTATGTTTCAGTGGGATTTAGGCACTTAAATACGTAGCAACTTTAAAATCCAAGGCTTCAGCATTGTTCTAGGTGACCAATATAATTCATTCAAAGCTAAATTCACATATTTATATTTCTCCTTATATATTTATTTATAGACTATCTCCATTAACAAGTGTTTATAAATATACACAAATGTGTGTGCATGTATACACGTTTCTTTCAGCAAGTCTTTCATTCTTCCTTGATTTTATAATGGATGCATCCATGCATCCATTTTAAGCATGGGTTGGCAAATATCTTAACATAATATACTTAAGAAAGGATCATGAGATATGACTTGGAAAGATTAAGGAAAAAAACAGTGATAAAGTGTATGAACTTAGAAAGAGGTACTGATCTGGAAATGAACTATCAACGCATGCTAAAAATCCATGTAACTGAGAGATGACTCAATGACTCAATGACTGCAGAGGACGGAGGACTGTTTTTTGCAGCTAATATGCGATAACAAAGAAATTAATCAAGCTAAAATCAAATTATGTAAAATACATTGCAAATATAGTGTACAAAAAAGGAAGCAAATATCTGAAACCCTTCTTCTTCTTATGTCATTCCTAAATCATGTTTGTAGAAATTGTTTTGTAGAAATCAGGTTGCTTGTATTTTTAATTATGTAAATTATGTGTTATATATTTAAATAGCTGATACAGATCACCTCATTTTTTTATGTCAGTCTTTCAGGTTTTGTCTTTTCTCATCTATTTGTACTTTGGGAAGATCCATGGAATTCTTCCCTCTTTTTCAATAAAACTAGCAAAATTTTTCATAGAGAAGAACCTAACAACCATGAATGACGCAATATGTTTAAGAAGGAGCTGGGAGAAACAGAATTTGGAAGATAACACTTCAAATAGATAATGAAACTATGATTTTATGCATGGTTATTGAGTTCTTAAATGAGAGTGTTTTCAGCTTTACATAATTGCTTTTCAACCTACAATACTTCTTTAAAAACTTAACCTCTCAGGTTTGATTTTAGTGTTGGTTACTAATGTTTTTAGCTTAAATTATGAATATCATTTTATCTTGCATAAGGAAGTGGTTTATATCTGTATCACTAAAATTAGAGCCCAGCCATAATACCTGTATAACTGATAAAAATCTGCTACACTGGAGCAAACTTCCCAATAATTGACACGGAAATAAATTAGTTAAGAGTGCAGAATTGAACACAAAGGTTATCACAAACCTTTTAACTAAAACTGGGTGATCAACTTTGTCTATTATGAATTAATTTAAATCTTTTAAAAGTTAACGTCTTTTGCTTTTCAGTAAGTGAGCAATGAGAGACAGCTGATCCTCTGATGTATCTGGGTTTCAAGTTCCTAGAACCTACATCTGGAGCTTAATCTTCCGAATTACACAAGAATTGTAAACTTGATAAAAGAAAACATTGCCATTAAACTCAAGGTAAGAAATTATTATACATTGTTTTATGTATCTTTATATAAAAAGTTACAAGTAGCAAGCATATGACACAGGAATGGAACAGTAACAGCAATAATTGTGAATGCATGCTTTTTTACAATGTATCTAATAAAGGGATTTTTGCCAACTCAAATATTCAGTAACATACATGCAGATTATTTTCTCAATGTCAAATTCAGTCATATTGCTAGATGCTTATCCAACAAACATTTCTATTGAAGTGATTATGAATGTCTAAATACCTGATTTCAATAAATTGTTCCTGAAATTGGGAATTTAACTTGCAACAAAAAGAAGAAAGAAAAAGAGAAAGAGAAATGACTGATAAGCATAATAACCAAAGTCTTATTGCCTTCTAGTAATTTTACTTAATACTGTTTGCTGAATTTTGTCATGATATGAGAATAGCTGGTCAGAGAGTCCATAAAACCTCTAGCTGGTGTTTCCAAGGATGATAGTTTCACATTTCATTGTAGCATGTTCAAAATCACTCAGGAGCTCACTATTCTCAAGCAGTCTATATAATGAAAACAACGTACATATAACAAAAGTTCAATGTAAATTTTCTTCCACATATCACACAACATACATGTAAATAACAGACATAAAACTCATCAACTGAAATAAAACAAAGATAAGATAACAAAAAAAAAAGGAGGGGGGGACAGTCTCAGTTAGGGACTAATTTCTTCTTCAAGTTTGCAGCAAATCTCCAAATGTCTTTAAAAACTAAGGAGCACTTGGTGGCCAACAACCAAATTACAAACGTAACATATTATTGTGCAGTGGGAATATCTTGCTAAGGAAGTACGATATGTCTGTACTTCTTAGATTTGGATAAAGGCAATGAAATGAAATTAGAAACACGTCCACTCTCTCTTTCATACAGCTGAAATAATTCCCTGTAATTTTTTCCAGTCAGAGTTTACATGACTGCATGGATAGTTGTCTGAAAGCAAAACGAAGTTAAAATATGTTCTCTCTCTGAGGAAAAATACAGAACAATATTTACCTAAACTATCTAGAAACAATAAAGCATTAAGGGATTCTTTCCCAGCAAAATTTCTGCATACATATATACACATAAACATGTATACACACATATCTGTGTTTATATATATACACAGATATACATATATAAATTGACAGACTAGCAGCTATCTATAACTACATTATAAACATATGAGATTATGTTTATTAAGATTAAGAGTTGATAACAAATTAACCTAAATGAAAAGCTTAGGAAAAGACTCAAAAAAGGAGGTTTAATTTGCAGACATGCACATTAGTGCTACAGAATCTCTAAATTTATCAATACTACCACATACCCTTACCCCGACACTTCACAAGGTTGAATGAATAAAATGAGCTGAAAACAGATATTTCCACAACTTCCTGGCTTGGGCTAGATTGCCAACTTTTGCATACTATTTCACATGCTGGGACTCTAAATTTTATGTTCATAAATTAAAAAAAAAATATTAAACACCAGAGCCATGCAAAGCATCTGTCTTTATAATGTGTTTGGAATTAAGATTATATTTAGCTAGGGGATGATTATAGTGCTGTCTAGAATAACAAATTAATAGATTTTTCTTAGTTTACAATGCTAAACTGGTCATCTGTCTTTCCCTTTTCTCAGTATCCAAACCTGGCTCTTCATACAAGATGACATATAACTTGAGAACTAACATGCATTTTAGCAATATAACAAATAAAATAGAAAGCAACAGATGGTTCAATTGTTGTATAGGTATGTTTACTTACCTCAAGTTTGTCTCTTACACCCTAGTTGTGTTGTACTCAGACTCATGTTTGCTTAGAGACCCAATGAGGCAGAACCTGGAATGTTATGGCTATTTCATTCAAAATAATAATGTTTGCATAGAAAAAAAAAGAAATATATGCATATAGATACTTAATAAACAGTACACCGTGATAATCTGATCACTATTCATGAGGTAATTTACATTGACATGCAAAGAGATTAAAATAATCAAATAACTTTTTTTTAAGAGACAGAAATGCCTTAATGTGCAAAGAAAATATGGAGGGCATGTAAACAGTCACAAGAAGTGCATAAATAATGCATGCAAGAGAAAACACAAATATATATAAAAAGTTTCTGTGTTCTTTTTCAAATAAATTGTTCATAAATGCTTCTGCTTTTCTTTTTCTTTTACTTGTAAACTTTTAATCATTCACATTTACAGTCATTCAAAGTGCAATATACAGTAGAAATAGCTCTTTTATTAAAAATATCAAGCTTGACTTTTTTATTGATTAGAAAGATTCGTTTTAACTACATTCTTATATGTAAATATAAGAGTATTCTTTATTCACTATGCTGTCTCATGTTGTAATCGAGATATATGTATGTTAATATGACAAGCCAAGATACTGTGATTAATAATGGAACAGATACGGTAAAGTTTTGCACATATTGTCATTCATTATATAAAAGAAAATGTTTCATGAGAAAAGGGGTTTCCTTACCCCAGGATTGTGTTTCTCATTATTGTGCCATACATCAAAACGGATGCATGTATTTTTTATTTATTAGTGTATTGATTTAGCGATGTTAGACCAACAATGGATGATACTCAAGGCCACCTCAGTTACAAGGAAACCACATGTATATGGCTCTTTCAAAAACTATATTCACACAAAATCTTCTTTGGTTTTTAAAAATTGTATCTGTTCTCTGTTGACCTATGTGTGTACGCATGTGGGCATGTGTAAAATAGTAAAAGAAAAAGAAAGTTATAAAGTAGAAAGGTAAAACTGAGATACAGGATCCTTCAGGAAACAGGATCAGAGATGAGAGAGAGAGAGAGGAAGAGTGAGATAATATAATGGCATGTGCTATCAGAAAACAGAAGTTTAAACAACAAATAAAGAAGAAATATGTCTTTGTTGAATAAAGAGTGAATATGTTTGGGCAATCAAGTCCTTACACAATAGTCTTCAAAAATCTATTGATACTGACCGCTGAACAGCTTTATCATGTCTGGACAGCCTGTGACTTGTGGTAGGTACCTCTTCAATTTCGTCTATCTCGCACGCATCTGCAGCATCTTGTGAGTAGCTATGCTTCATGACAAGGATATTTCTCCTGTTCATGGGCTGAATGAGTGGTTTTACAGGCTGGGGTTGTATTTCTGTCAAGACAGAAGCATCTCTTGTGCTGAGGTTACTACGGCTGCCCTTAATGCTAGACACTTGTGATCCACAGTGATGGTCATGAATGCATTTTGAAGACGATCTCCGCAGTTTATGGTAATTTTCAAAGTCATCTGCAACATCAGCAAGGTCAGCTGTAGGCCCTGTCCCTCTGAGGGTGCATAACTCATAATGAGGAGGCTCAAACACCTCCTGGAACACTGTTTGATCAAAGTCTGTTTTCCTTTGGACAAACTTTTTACGAGGCTGTTTGATCTGTACTATAACAGAGATAACAATGAGGATGATCACAATGCAAGAAGTGACCCCAATTATAGTCCCACTGGTATTGGTAAGTTGGTCCAATAGGTTAGCTTTTCTTTTTTCTGTGTGACAGGAGAAAAAAAAGCACAGCGTTAATTGCAGTTCAAGAATAAAAACAACCATGATGCATTCACAGATTACTGCAAAGCTGAGCCTAGTCTACTTAATCAATCTCACTGACAAAAAGAAAAAAGGAAGAAATCAGGCATTTGTGAAAGCCAAATAAACAACACACAGGTCCTTTGTGTGCCTAGTAACTTGGAAAGTTATTCATTCTGGATATATTACAAGTTTAATTAGATGAAGGAATTATTTACATTTTTTATAAAAAGCAACCACCATAACAAGCAGATGGCTTTAGTGTCACCTCTGCACTCCATTTGCCTGCTAAAGCCTCCAAGACTGTTACAGATGTTCTCTTAATTATTTTCTGCCTCTTCCTGTAAATATATGCAACTAGGACATTAGGACCAACGAAAGAGCAAAACTTTACAGGATTTAAAAAGAAATACTTCTTTGCATTGGGATCTTCGATGAAGTCCTAATATGTATGAGCTGACTGGGACTGTTGACAGTATTCAATGAGAGCTAAATCAGGAGAAAATAGAAAAGTTATTCCAATTGAGGTTTTAGAAAGAAAAAAAATGTGTGCAAGTCATTTATTTTGTTCCTGACCTGTTAATTACCACAACTTTTCTAAACACCCGTAAAAATCCAAACCTGATCCTACCTACTGTCCTTTACTCAGGAGCATCTAGGCAGTTAGCCAGCAAATTCAGCATTGTGAATGAAGAAAAACAGAAAATATGCAGTAAAACAATAAAAAGAACCTCAGTTTCACCCTACTGTTTTGTATATTTCTCTGTGATTTGCTTTCAAATGGCTGCAGACACATGAGATGGTGACTGAGCCTTGCAGAAAACCAAGCTGAAGGCATTCACATCAGTCTCTCAGGCATAGCACGACTCAGCAACTGTGATTAAGTTTCAACATGCAGTTTAGTGTAATTTTTCCTGGAAATGTAAAACATATCAAAGGGCTTAATAGAAAGCCCTTGACTTGAAAGTTATTGCCACCAAAACAACAACATCCATCTTTTCATAATCTCCTAGATATCAAAAATGAACTTTTCAGTACTCCCCATTGACTACTCTTGTAGATTCACCTGGGGTTTCTCTCACTGCCTGATACAGACTCTATGGAAGTAGCAAAGTTAGAAAAAGCAACACAGCGGCAAACAACCTTTTTGCTGGAATAAGCAAACCTCCTGTCAGAAAAACAAGAGAGAATAAACTCATAAGGTCCTATAAAGGGTTCCTTAGCAAATGAAAGATTAAAATAATTCTGGAAATTATAGAGTGGGGAAAGGTTTCTGTTTTCTTCTGTGCTAAAGTCAAGAACAGATAATTATTTCCCAATCATATGTTTATTTTCTTTGAAGAATATTATGCTATGCCACAGTTTTGCCGTGTTCTTTTGAACTATGTTTTCATTTGTGGTTTACCCTAGTGCACTGCTTGTCAGGATTTTACAGGCTTCAGCAGACTTACGAGCTGACTGTTAATCCACCTCATTCTGAATTTTTTCTTGATTGATTCCAAATCTGGCATATCCCATGTTTCCAGGAACAAATCTGCAGTAGCAGGGTGGGACCGGGGGGGTGGAGGCGGCAGGGGGGAAGCAGACTGTCTCCCTAGCCTGCAATGTAAGTTAAGCTCTTTTCCCTGAAGACAACATGAATGCTGATTTTTTTCTCCAGAAACACAGAGCATTATTTAGAAACCGTTGTCAGCACCTGGTTAGGAACATCAGTCCCTGACATTATGAAAGAGACAGAAAGAGACATTATGCCTGATTTCCTGCACTTGTTCCTTGCTCTTCAATTTCACTCAATTATAGGTAGATTTGGTTGCTTTCTTACAGTGTTAATTCCACTTCACCTTGGTGTTTTAGCCCACCTGGGCTGTTATGAACATGGCATGCAGCTAAAAGACACCTGCTACCCATATGTTACTCCGCTACAAAGGTAACTATGACAAAGGAACCAAAATATGACTTTTTATTACATTTTAGATTGTATGGGAAATGGAGACCAAGTAATCACAAGCCTGCCAGAAGGACATCACCAGCCAGAATGACATAGCCAACACAAATCAACACCAAGTAAAACAAATGCAAACACTGAAAGTAAAATCCATTGGCATTTTTACTTCTCTCCTTTTTCTCTATTGCTTGATGTATGCTCTCCCTGAATTACTCTTCCTGAGCTTTCACCCATCTGGCACCTACTTAACAAGAAACTAAGGATAACATGCTGTATCCCCCACAGTCTCAGTGACTTGACAGTTCCAATTCTACACATTACCTTTGCAGTGGTTTTCATCCCAAGGATACACACAATTCTGGAGTCCATTGCAGACCAATGTATTATTAATACACATATTACTGTGGCAAAAGAATGTGTTGGCTTCACAAGGGGCTAAAAACGAGAGAGAAAAAGCTGGTATTAAGTAGTAAATCATTCCGCTCTCTGCAACAAACACATACAGGAGTGATCATGTAATCTGTAGTATGAGAAAGCTGTACAAGACAGGTTCCTTGAACATATTTAATATTCAACTTGCAGCATTAAGAGTACTCAAGTCACACACTGTTTATTATTCTGTGGCAAGAGATTTTGAGTTCTAAGACAGATGGACTTTCCCATAGTCTGACTCCCATGACTGTAGCAGGTTGCCCACCCACACACTGGTGGTGGATCTTTGATGTGTTATCAACAGTTTTAGCCACAGATCCAAAACACAGCACACCATGGGCTACTATGAAAAAAGTTAACTGTATCCCAGCCAGATCTGATGCATGGGAAATAATGTTGCTGAAACTCCAGTTTTATAAGAAAACTTGCATGACTCAAAGAAGGTATGTATTTTAATGCCCATATCAATGGTGCCTGAACGTTTATCCACAGAGAAAATAAAATTATTTTAAAAACGTTTTGGTCATAAGAAAGGCTGCAGTAAAAAAGTACACCTTTGATCACAAGTGTGAAGATTAAAAAAAGCAACAGTCTTCAGTGTCCCTGAAGCCCATGGTCTAGGAGAATCATGCAAATTAAAGCTGCAGAATCAACACTTTACTGAAGGCCATATACTATTGCTGTCAAGAAGCAGCTTGGAAGGCCATCAGAAGGAATTGTACACACTGCTAAACAGTGCTACTTAGTCAAGTGTTGGGAGATCTTTAGGTGTTGGGGTTGTACTCCAAAATTATATAACATAGTAAAGATAAATTACTCCTCATATTTCTTTTATTAAAACCAAACTAGAAGATCTTTCTCCATTTAGAAAAAGCTGGAAGCCAGGTGCCCACCAAAGCCACTCTATCGCTCCCCTTCTCAGCTGGGCTGAGGAAATATGACGAAAGGCTTGTGGGTCAAGGTAAGGACAGGGAGAGATCACTCAGCAGTTACCATCACAGGCAAACCAGACTTGACTTGGGGAAATTAATTTAATTTATTGACAATCAAGTAAGAGTAGGATAATAAGGAATAAACCCAAATCTTAAAAACACCTTCTTCTCCCTGGGAGGGAACTTTAATCCTGATCTTCTCTACCTCCTCCCCCCAAGCAGCACAGGGGAGCAGAGAATGGGGGTTGTAGTCAGTTCACCACACAGTCATCTCTGCTGCTCCTTCCCCCTCAGGGGGAGGACTCCTCACACTCTTCCCCTGCTGCAGTGTGGGGTCCCTCCCACAGGACACAGTCCTCCACAAACTTCTCCAATATGAGTCCTTCCCACAGGCTACAGTTCTTCACAAAATGCTCTAGCGTGGGCAGGCTGCAGTCCTTCAGGAACAGACGGCTCCAGTGTGGGTCCCCCGTGGGGTCACAAGTCCTGCCAGCAACCCTGCTCCAAAGTGGGTTCCTCTCTCCCTGGGTCCACAGGCCCCGCCCTCCAATGTGGGCTTCCCATGGGGTCACAGCCTCCTTTGAGCATCCGTCTATTCCAGTGTGTGGTCCCCCATGGGCTGCATGTGGAGATCTGCTCCCCCGTGGAGCTCCATGGCTGCAGGGGCACAGCCGGCCTCACCAGGGTCTTCACCAGGGTCTTCACCAGGGGCTGCTGGGGAACCTCTGCTCCGGCGCCTGGAGCCCCTCCTGCCCCTCTTTCCTCACGGACCTTGGTGTCTGCAGGGCTGTTTCTGTCACATAATCTCACTCCTCTCTCTGCTATTGTTCTGCACAGGTTTTTTTTCCCCCTTAAAAATGTTGTCCCAGAGGTGCTACCACTGTTGCTGATGGGCTCAGCCTTGGCCAGCAACGGGTCCATCTTGGAGCCGGCTGGTGTTGGCTCTGTTGGACATAGGGGAAGCTTCTAACAGCTTCTCACAGAAGGCACCCCTGCAGCTCCCTGCTACCAAAACCTTGCCAGAAGCCACACTGGCAGCACCCCCATTATTAAAACCTCGCCATGCAAACCCAATACAGCTACAAACTTTATCAGTGTTAAATCAGTGAAAATTAACCCTTTATGCATTTTTTTAGCTCAAACAACCCAAAAATATTATTACAATTATTTTTAGGGGAACGTTAAAAAGTAACTTAAGACCTTTATCTAATCAGAAAGGAGTTACGGTGTTCATATTATTGATACTTAGAATTTGATGTTTCACGGTAATATTTCTCCTCTGCAACTTTAAAAGCAGTTTCTATAAAAACATATATGCACAGTGCAGAGACTGGCTCAGAGCAGACAACTGCTTCAGTGGTTTGCTAACTAAGGACAATACAAAGGATTTATATTGTAGAACTTAATGACTCCGTATATCATTTCAATAAATCCACTTTTCAATAAGTGCTTAAGTTTGGATATGCCTAAATGACTATAATGCCTTCTTCGGAGCAGTTATGGTCTATTAAACAAATGGTAAAAGCCATCAAAACTTGTTCACACTCCCAAATACACAACCATCCATTCAGAAATAATGGTATACATATACTGTATCTCTTAGTTAATGTAGAAGACAGATCAGCCAGACTGGTTCTGCGCACTGTTCAATTTTTGGAAAAATCTGATATACCATCTCCTAAGTTGCAGTGACCCTGGGCAGGTGTTAAGTTTAGTACAGGAAGGGGCTTACTTTAAACTGGATAGCAAAAGCAGAAAAGAACACATGCGTAGAATCACAGAAACATAGAATAGTTTGGGTTGAAAGGGACCTTTAAAGGTCATCTAGTCCAACCCCGCTGCAGTGAGCAGGGACATCTTCAACTAGAGCAGGTTGCTCAGACCCCCGTCCAACCCGAACGCTGAATGTTTCCAGGGATGGGGCATCTACCACCTCCCTGGGCAACCTGTGCCAGTGCCTCACCACCCTCACTGTGAAAAATTTCTGCCTTCTGTCGAGTCTAAATCTGTCCTATTTCAGTTTAAAACCGTTACTCCTTGTCCTATTGCTACAGGCCCTGCTAAAAAGTCTGTCCCCACCTTTCTTAGCAGCCCCCTTTAAGTACTGGAAGGCTGCAATAAGGTGTCCCTGGAGCCTTCTCCTCTCCAGGCTGAACAACTCTCTCAGCCTGTCCTCACAGGAGAGCTGTTCCATCGCTCTGGTCACTTTTGTGGCCTTACTCTGGACCCCCTCCAACAGGTCCCTGTCTTTCTTGTGCTGAGGGCTCCAGAGCTGGATGCAGCACTCCAGGTGGGGTCCCACCAGCGCAGAATAGGGGGGCAGAATCACCTCCCTTGACCAGCTGGCCACACTGCTTTGGATTCAGCCCAGGATGCAGTTGGCCTTCTGGGCTACGAGCACACATTGCTGGCTCATGTCCAGCTTTTCATCCATCAGGACCCCCAAGTCCTTCTTGACAGGGCTGCTCTCGATCCCCTCATCCCCCAGCCTGTATTGATACTGGGGATTGCCCTGACGCAGGTGCAGGACCCCGTGCTTGACCTTTTTGAAGCTCATGAGGTTCACACGGGCCCATTCCTCAAGCTTGTACAGGACCCTCTGGATGGCAAAGGACCTGCATGTTAGCAAGGGAGTGTGCTTTGGGACAATCCTTATCTGTCTGGTACAGTAATTTGGGGAAAATGAGGGCTGAGCCTGGAGGATACTGTATCACATCATGATGTGACACATTTTATCGGGGACCCACCAGAGGCACTACCATCCTTTCACAGTCTAGCTGCAATTCCTGTTTCTGGGCAAGGAGAGGATCTTTTGGGACTGTTTCTTTCCAACACACAGAAAGAATCTCACTGCTTGCTCTAAACAAAAAAATGAAACAGGGAGGGAAACAATCTATGAAAAGGAAACGTAAGAAGACCTAAATAGCCACAGATTCAAAATACATGGTAATAAGTAGGAAGTGCACGTGAACAGAAAACCCAAATAAAAAATGGGGAAAACACAAGGAGTGACAGGGGAACAAGGAAAAAATTGTTCGGGATTAGGAAAGTTTACGCAAATGAAGCCATAAAGGAGAAAACAAACAAAAACAGAACACACAAAAACATCCAGAGTTGCATGAAAGGCCTTAGAAGTGAAGTGGTAAAGACAGTGCCATGTGTCTGAGCAGGCAGAACCCCTTGCCTATCTATGGCTTGCTCTCGCCACTTTAAAATCAGTCTGATTTAATCCTGAATGCAACAGCAAAGAAAGGATTAATAATGGAAAAACAACATCCAAAAGAATAGAGAACAATTTAAGGGAAGGAAGGACATTTGTGCAAGGCAGAAATAAAGGAATTTAGAAGTATAGTGGTGGTAAGTAGAGAAGGAGGAACTAGAGGAACGTAATAAAGGAAGAGGAAGAAAGAGAGAACTGCACAGTAGAAATAGATGACACTTAGGACATTCTGCACTGAAAAGAATGACAAGAGATTTTATATCAAATGAAAAATATTAGGAAATGTTTCAGAAATAAGAAAGAAAAAATAAGAGCAGTACAAAAGATTTTTTTTCAGATTTAAGAAGAAGGGATAATTATGCAAATTAATGGCAGGGAGATCTGGAAATGAAAAGCAAGAGATAAGAAGAAAAAAGAAAAAAAAAATCTGTTTCTTTAAATTGTGCTATTGAACTATGGAGGAAAGAGGTGGTATGTGAATTAATGGCAAAACTAGATGAATAGTGAAGCAGAGCAATTTCAAAGTACAGCAAACTTAGCATGGGAGAAACCCAAATATAAGATTCCTAAACCTAATGACAAACAGCCCCCTCTTGTTCATATTTATAAAATTAGTATAGTCGAGTCCTCTCTGTGGTCCTTTGAACTTGGAGTGATTAAAGTGGACAAGAAATCAATATACTTTACCCACTCTGGTGAAAGCTTTTTGTTGTAATGAATGAAAGCATCAAGGGAGGCTGAAAACTTGTCAGTCCCATTGTACATTGGAGGAATTAAGGTTTTTGCCATTGAAGAGGCAAAGCAAAGGGGTCTTGGGGTGATGCATCAATGACATTCTAGTAATAGCAAAA